TGGCTATGGGGCAGGTGAGGGGCCACTTTTCCCTGTGCTCAGCACCAGCTTCTTCCCTGCTGGCAAGCAGGGGGCAGCGCACATGTCAAAGGGTGGGACTATCCATGCAACCCTTGACAGCCTGCCAAAAAATGGGTAAGCAGCCCTCTGCCTGATATAAATTGTCCGCCCCTGCTATAGATACAGGCGGATCTATACACGCTAGCAAGTCAGGCATGTCAGAACCAGATGAAGTTCAACATTGAGAAAAGTAAAGTGCTCCACCTGGGGACAAACAATCCTCTACACACTTATTGGCCTGGCGGCACCACACTGACCAGCACCACAAATGAAAGGGACCTGGGGGTTATAATAGACAGCAGTATGAATATGAGCTGGAAGTGCAATGCTGTTGCCAGCAGGGTAAATAATACTCTGGCATGCATCAATCAATACATCTCCAGCAAAAACAAGGAAGTGATTCTTCTGCTACACTCAGTACTGTTGAGACCACAGCTGGAGTACTGCGTCCAGTTCTGGAAGCCACACTTTAATAAGGACATGGACAAGCTTGAGAGAGTCCAGAGAAAGGCCACCCATATGATCAGAGACTTGCAAAGTAAGCCATATGAGGAAAGACTGGGACTCTTCAGCCTGAAAAAGAGAAGGCTGAGAAGGAACTTGGTAGCAGCTTACCACTACACTAGGGGAGTACATAAGAGCTCAGTGAACAACTGTTTACCAGGGCACCCCTGGGGAAAACCAGGAGCAGTGGCCACAAAGTCCTGGAAGACTGTTTCAGACTCAACATTAGGAAAAACTTCATCACAGTTAGGGTGTCCAGACTGTGGAATAAACTCCCTCCAGAGGTGGTGCAATCACCTACCCTGGCAATTGTCAAGAGGAGACTGGATGGTCACCTTGCTGGGGTCACTTGACCCCAGTTGTCTTTCCTGCTTAATGCAGGGGGTCCAGACCCGATGATCTTCCTAGGCCCCTTCTGGCCTTACAATCTATCAATCTGTCAAGAGTCATATACATTTTATTCCAAACGTATTCAACTTTACCTGTTTTTATTCCATGCCTCCCATAACATAACATAATATATTTAATCAAATTCAACACTAGTTCCCCCCCCACCATTCAATATGGGGGGAAAGTCCCTCATCTTGGATTCAAGCACAATGCATAGTGGCAGGCAGCTGCTGCAACTCCAGCTCTGACCCTGACCCAAGCTCTGAGGCAGAGCTGCAGCTCCTGAACCCTCCCACCCTCCACTAATGCTTACCTGGCTCT